CATAGATAGATAGGTGGGGAGGTAGGTAGATAGTCAGAGAAAGAGACAGAAAGAGAGAGAAAGAGAGGAGACCTCAACCATCTTTCGGTCCGTCAGTGGCTTCGCTCTGCCATCCGTGATTCACAACAACCAGCCTCTCCTATAGGTTTCCTATTTCTGAAACTTCCGCCACCGCCTTGTGCGGTACTACTGGCACAAATGAAGAAAATCAAATCAAAGTAACAACTGATTAACAACTGGTTAACAACCGATAACTCTTGTATTCATGGGGGGCAAAAACTCGACATTTCCCGTTGCCACCGTGCCGTGCCGTACCAGGTCTTGGCGCTGTGCATCCACCAGCTGCAGACATCATCGGTGACGGATGAAACGTTGGAGCAGGACCAGGAGCAGTTGAGGGATCAGAGCCTCGGTAAAATCTATGGGAAAATCACGGGAATACCAGAAAATCCTTTATGGATATGGGAAAATGGGGAAACATATACGGGAAAATATGAAAATACCATGCACATACCATCATATTTTTAACCCATTTGGGCTTTTTGATATGGGAAAAGACATCTGTAAATGAGGATAAAAAACGAATGTGATGTCGTGATATGTCAATTCGGTGATGTCGTCATCCCCAACGGGCCCCGATGACGTCATGGATCAGCCAACAATCCATGACGTGAAGTCCATGTGACAGCCAGATTGGGAGACGGAGATGGTGAGTGGGTCATACCGCAATTAAGATAGAGCGTAAAATATCACTAAAATGAAAGAAATATCATTAAAATGGTGACCAATTACTTTTTCACTATCTTTTCCCATAAAGGATTTAGTTTTTTTTAGAAGAACTCTACGCACCTGAGCGTAGAGTTCTTCCAAAAGAGGAGCTGACATCATACGTCTTCACACATCTTACATCTGCAGATCTTACATCTTCACATCTTGCATCTTCACATCTCACATCTGCAGATCTTACATCTTCAGATTTTGCACTCTCTTCTCTCTCTCTCTCTCTTTCTTGTCTGCTAATTTCTATATTCTCTCTCTCTCTCGCTCTTTCTCAAAAGCTTTTGTGGGTAAAAGCGTTTGTGTGTACAAGCGTCTGTGTGTAAAAGGCATCTGTGTGTAAACGCGTCTGTGTGTAAAGGCTTCTGTGTGTAAAAGCATCTTTGGGTAAAAATGTCTGTGTAAAAGCTTCGATTCAATGTGTAAAAACGCCTGTGTGTAAAAGCGACTGTGTGTAAAAAGTTCTGTGTGTAAAAACGTCTGTGCATAAAAGTGTCTGTGCGCACAGACTTCTATGTGTAAAAGCATCTGTGTGTAAAAATGTCTCCGTGTACAAGCGTCTGTGTGTAAAAGGAATCTGTGTATAAAAGCATCTGTGTGCACAGACTTCTGTGTGTAAAAGCGTCTGTGGGTAAAAGCATCTGTGTGTAAAAATGTCTCTGTGCACAAGCATCTGTGTGTAAAAGGAATCTGTGTGTAAAAGCGTCTGTGTATAAAAGCGTCTGTGTGTAAAAGGCATCTGTGTGTACAAGCGTCTGTGTGTAAAAGCGTCTGTGTGTACAAGCGTCTGTGTGTAAAAGCATCTGTGTGTAAAAACGTCTGTGCGTAAAAGCGTCTGTGTGTAAAAGCGTCTGTGTATAAAAGCGTCTGTACGCAAAAATGTCTGTACATAAAAGTGTCTGTGTGCACAGACTTCTGTGTGTAAAAGCGTCTGTGTGTAAAAGCGTTTGTGTGTACAAGCGTCTCTGTGTAAAAGGCATCTGTGTGTAAAAGCGTCTGTGTGGAAAAGCGTTTGTGTGTACAAGCGTCTGTGTGTAAAAGGCATCTGTGTGTAAAAGCGTCTGTGTGTAAAAGCGTTTGTGTGTACAAGCGTCTGTGCGTAAAAGGCATCTGTGTGTAAAATTGCTGTATGTAAAAGCGTTTGTGTGTACAAGCGTCTGTGTGTTAAAGGCATCTGTGCGTAAAAGCGTCTGTGTGTAAAAGCGTTTGTGTGTACAAGCGTCTGTGTGTAAAAGGCATCTGTGTGTAAAAGCGTCTGTGTATAAAAGCGTCTGTGTGTAAAAGGCATCTGTGTGTAAAAGCATTTGTGCGTACAAGCGTCTGTGTGTAAAAGGCATCTGTGTGTAAAAGCGTCTGTGTGTAAAAGCGTTTGTGTGTACAAGCGTCTCTGTGTAAAAGGCATCTGTGTGTAAAAGCGTCTGTGCATAAAAGCGTCTGTGTGTAAAGGCATCTGTTTTTTTAACGTCTGCGTGTAAAAGTGTTTGTGTGTACAAGCGTCTGTGTGTAAAAGGCATCTGTGTGTACAAGCGTCTGTGAGTAAGAGGGTTTGTGTGTACAAGCGTCTGTGTGTAAAAGGCTTCTGTGTGTAAAAGCGTCTGTGTGTAAAAGCGTTTGTGTGTACAAGCGTCTGTGTGTAAAAGGCATCTGTGTGTAAAAGCGTCTGTGTGTAAAAGCGTTTGTGTGTACAAGCGTCTGTGTAAAAGGCATCTGTGTGTAAAAGTGTCTGTGTGTAAAAGCGTTTGTGTGTACAAGCGTCTGTGTGTAAAAGGCATCTGTGTGTAAAAGCGTCTGTGTGTAAAAGGCATCTGTGTGTCAAAGCGTCTGTGTGTAAAAGCGTTTGTGTGTAAAAGCGTCTGTGTGTAAAAGCGTTTGTGTGTAAAAGGCATCTGTGTGTGAAAGGCATGTGTGTGTAAAAGCGTCTGTGTGTAAAAGCGTTTGTGTGTACAAGCATCTGTGTGTAAAAGGCATCTGTGTGTAAAAGCGTCTGTGTATAAAAGCGTCTGTGTGTAAAATGCATCTGTGTGTAAAAGCGTCTGTGTGTAAAAGCGTTTGTGTGTACAAGCATCTGTGTGTAAAAGGCATCCGTGTGTAAAAGCGTCTGTGTGTAAAAGCGTTTGTGTGCACAAGCGTCTGAGTGTAAAAGGCATCTGTGTGCAAAAGCGTCTGTGTGTAAAAGCGGTTGTGTGTACAAGCGTCTGTGTGTAAAAGGCACCTGTGTGTAAAAGCGTCTGTGTGTAAAAGCGTTTGTGTGTACAAGCGTCTGTGTGTAAAAGGCATCTGTGTGTAAAAGCGTCTGTGTGTAAAAGCGTTTGTGTGTACCAGCGTCTGTGTGTGAAAGGCATCTGTGTGTAAAAGCGTTTGTGTGCACAAGCATCTGTAAAGGCATCTGTGTGTAAAAGCGTCTGTGTGCAAAAGCGTCTGTGTGTACAAGCGTCTGTGTGTAAAAGGCATCTGTGTGTAAAGGCGGTTGTGTGTACAAGCGCCTGTGTGTAAAAGGCACCTGTGTATAAAAGCGTCTGTGTGTAAAAGGCATCTGTGTGTACAAGCGTCTGTGTGTAAAAGGCATCTGTGTGCAAAAGCGTCTGTGTAAAAGCGTCTGTGTGCAAAAGCGTCTGTGTGTACAAGCGTCTGTGTGTAAAAGGCATCTGTGTGTAAAGGCGGTTGTGTGTACAAGCGCCTGTGTGTAAAAGGCACCTGTGTATAAAAGCGTCTGTGTGTAGAAGGCATCTGTGTGTACAAGCGTCTGTGTGTAAAAGGCATCTGTGTGCAAAAGCGTCTGTGTTATCGCGGTTGTGTGTAAAAAGACATCTGTGTGTAAAAGCGTCTGTATGTAAAAGTGTTTGTGTGTACAAGCGTCAGTGTGTAAAAGGCGTCTGTGGGTAAAAGCGTCTGTGTGTAAAAGCGTTTGTGTGTAAAAGGCGTCTGTGTGTAAAAGGCGTCTGTGGGTAAAAGCGTCTGTGTGTAAAAGCGTTTGTGTGTACAAGCGCCTGTGTGTAAAAGGCATCTGTTTGTAAAAGTGTGTACAAGCGTCTGTGTGTAAAAGGCATCTGTGTGTAAAAGCGTCTGTGTGTAAAAGCGTTTGTGTGTACAAGCGTCTGTGTGTAAAAGGCATCTGTATGTAAAAGCGTCTGCGTGTAAAAGCGTGTGTGTGTGTGTACAAGCGCCTGTGTGTAAAAGGCATCTGTGTGTAAAAGCGTCTGTGTGTAAAAGCGTTTGTGTGTAAAAGGCGTCTGTGTGTAAAAGGCATCTGTGTGTAAAAGCGTCTGTGTGTAAAAGCGTTTGTGTGTACAAGCGTCTGTGTGTGAAAGGCATCTGTGTGTAACAGTGTCTGTATGTAAAAGCGTCTGTGTGTGTAAATGTGTGTACAAGCGTCTGTGTGTAAAAGGCATCTGTGTGGAAAAGCGTCTGTGTGTAAAAGCGTTTGTGTGTACAAGCGTTTGTGTGTAAAAGGCATCTGTGTGTAAAAGCGTCTGTATGTAAAAGCGTTTGTGTGTACAAGCGTATAAAAGCGTTTATGTGTACAAGCGTCTGTGTGTAAAAGGCATCGGTGTGTAAAAGCTCTGCGTGTAAAAGCGTTTGTGTGTACAAGCGTCTGTGTGTAAAACGCATTCGTGTGTGTGTGTAAAAGCGTCTGTGCGTAAAAGCGTGTGTACAAGTGCTGTGTGTAAAAGGCATCTGTGTGTAAAAGCGTCTGTGTGTGAAAGCGTTTGTGTTTACAGGCGTCTGTGTGTAAAAGGCATCTGTGTGTAAAAGCGTCTGTGTGTAAAAGCGTCTGTGTGTAAAAGGCATCTGTGTGTAAAAGGCATCTGTGTGTAAAAGCGTCTGTGTGTAAAAGCGTTTGTGTGTACAAGCGTCTTTGTGTAAAAGGCATCTGTGTGTAAAAGCGTCTGTGTGTAAAAGCGGTTGTGTGTACAAGCGTGTGTGTGTAAAAGGCATCTGTGTGTAACAGTGTCTATGTGTAAAAGGGTCTGTGTGTAAATGTGTGTACAAGCGTCTGTGTGTAAAAGGCATCTGTGTGTAAAAGCGTCTGTGTAAAAGCGTTTGTGTGTAAAAGGCGTCTGTGTGTAAAAGGCGTCTGTGGGTAAAAGCGTCTGTGTGTAAAAGCGTTTGTGTGTACAAGCGCCTGTGTGTAAAAGGCATCTGTGTGCAAAAGCGTCTGTGTGTAAAAGTGTCTGTGTGTAAAAGGCATCTGTGTGTAAAAGGCATCTGTGTGTAAAAGCGTCTGTGTGTAAAAGCGTTTGTGTGTAAAAGCGTCTGTGTGTAAAAGGCATCTGTGTGTAAAAGCGTCTGTGTGTAAAAGCGTTTGTGTGTACCAGCGTCTGTGTGTGAAAGGCATCTGTGTGTACAAGCGTTTGTGTGTACAAGCGTCTGTGTGTAAAAGGCATCGGTGTGTAAAAGCTCTGCGTGTAAAAGCGTTTGTGTGTACAAGCGTCTGTGTGTAAAAGGCATCTGTGTGTAAAAGCGTCTGTGTGTAAAAGCGTTTGTGTGTACAAGCGTCTGTGTGTAAAAGGCATCTGTGTGTAAAAGCGTCTGTGTGTAAAAGCGTTTGTGTGTACAAGTGCTGTGTGTAAAAGGCATCTGTGTGTAAAAGCGTCTGTGTGTAAAAGCGGTTGTGTGTGTACAAGCGTCTGTGTGTAAAAGGCATCTGTGTGTAAAAGCGTCTGTGTGTAAGAGCGGTTGTGTGTACAATGTACAAGCGTCTGTGTGTAAAAGGCATCTGTGCGTAAAAGCGTCCGTGTGTAAGAGACTGTGTGTGTAAGGGTTTCTGCGTTACATCTTCGCATCCTACATTTTCTCCATCTTTTCTTTTCACTCATTTATCTTGACATCTTGCCTCTGTCATCTTTATCAAGATCAGCTGCTACATTTGCCCTCCTTGTATAACTGCTCATACCATAATTCTATATAATTCTTTCACATTTTTTTCATTGTCTTGATACTAACAACTGAGTAGCTTTCTCCTCTACTCTCTCGCGCCATCCGTCGTCTAGTCGTCTAGTTCCTACAATGAAGTATAATCAATAACGTATTGCCATCGCTATGATCATACATAAGTTAGGAATAGTCGTAGGGAACCAGGGAAGTCTTAGTAGGGAAGAAGTGTTGTGGTTATTGTTGTTGTCCAATTGGTATTCTTACTTTCTATGCGGGTACGGCCTATAAATTCTTGGCGTGGGAAGATATGCACCATACAATGTTCTAATCATTAGTAATCACCATACAATGTTCCGGGCTATTAATAAAATTTACTGCTGGTACCAATTGGTTTGGTATAATTGGTATGAGTAGTTTCCGTTGTGATTGCTGTTATTTAGGTCATTGGAGGTATGATTAACAAATATTATATAGGTATGATTAGGTGTAACACTAACAGTTTACTATTATTTGGGTGGGTTATAATCAGATGGAACAGAGACTTTATGGTTCTTACTCTTGATATCTTAATGTTTGGCATATAAACTGGGGATACAAGCAGTTGAAGTATCGTCTGAAATTGGTTTACCCCAGGGGAAAAAGATTTTGAATGCATTTCATGGGATGATAAGTTCATTTGTTGTGAGGATATTGTTTTCCTGGGGATAACAAATTCCAGTATTGATGAGGATATCTCCATAGTACTCTACACCCAGCGGGTATAAATTGAGAGAGTTTAGAAAATGAAAAAGGGGTTGGGTACGATACCTCAAACATATTCAAACAACCAATTTGTGAAGCAAGACGATAGTCTAAGGGTGCTTTCATCTGACACGATGATTCAACATCAACGTCCCAGGATTCCATGATCGTAATTTCACATTGAAATGGAATATCATCATTTCAATGGCAAAACATTGGAAAATAATCTATGAACATCTATGGACTATGAACAGAATTGAGGTATATTCATGAGACATAAGATACTAAGGAACATCGGCGGATGGGTTGGCAGCTTGGGCCGCTCTCTAGAAGCGGATCAGGTGGCGATTGCTTGGGGGAGAAGATTTCGGTGATGGATTTACCACATCTCACACAGCAAAAAATACAGCAGGGAATCAACAAAATAACCGAGACCAGGGCATCCAAAGGTTTGCCACGTCATCCACGTGACTTTCTTTGAGCAATACTTATATTCGGTAGTAGAATCTTCTGTAATCATCAACAAACTGTAGTCAACTGCCCAGGTACAAGAATCTGTATGTATGTATACGTATACATATATATATATAAATAAATGTGTATATATATATACATTATGTATGTATGTAGAAGAGATTGTGACCCAGCCCCGGGATTCACTACTGTTGTCAGGCTCTAAGCTGTTTGGAAAAATCCCAAAGCCGAGAAGACGGGCAGGCGCAGGGCAGGGCGGGATCGCATGGCGGGGGTCCATATGTTGATAGAAAATGGACTTCAGAAAATGTTGTGCCCAAATTTGGATGGTTTACAAGGCACAATTTCTTATCCAAATCATCCAGAATCATGTGCATATACACAAAGAGTAGCCATGCAATACAATGTGTTCTAATCAAAGGAAGTTTAGCTCGAAAACTTCCGGGTTACGGACGAATTTTATAGGGGCAGCCTTGTCATCATGTCATCACCATGTCATCACCATGTCATCATCATATCATTATCATGCCATCATCATGTCATCATCGTGTCATCATCTTGTCATTGGTTCGCGTGTGGGGGCAGTAGGTGAGAGTACCACTTTGAGGAGGCGTGAATTCACGGGTGAAAACGCTTTCGGGCGCCAAACCCTCTGTTTTTTCGGGTATAAAGTGGCCTTCGGGGTCCCCGGAGGGTCTCTGTTTCCGCGGGTGCGGGCCTCGATCTCGGCCAAAAAGTGCACGAGACTGTAGCGAGAGCTTTTGGTCAAAAATTTGCTTCTCCCTGCAAGGGCGTGGCACTTTTGGAAGATCAGGTCGGCAAAACACGCACCAAACTGCAGCGAGAGCTCGGTTTGCACCATTAAAAAACTGAAGCGTTCGGAGTACTTTTGGAAGATGAGGTTGGCAAAATGCGCGCGTGACTGCGCGAGAGCTCGATTTCAAATCAAAACCGTAAAAATCTGAGAGCTCGCAGTAGCGCGAAATCGCTCCCATTGTCAGCGCTGCGTGCACGCTGGTCGATTTGGCGCGATGCTCCTGTTTTGCGGGTTTCCAAGCGGTTGTGACAGAATGCATTGGCACGGCTAGCAGCAGTGATGATGCGAGGCTCCTGGCAAGCCGGATTGCAGCTGGAAGTTGCTAAACACATCGTATAATAGCCGAAATGTAGTTTTGAATTCTTCTGTCCCACTGCGGTCTTGCCGGACGCATTGCAGTGGCTAAGCGAAGACAAGAAGTGCAGACAGCAGAAGGTACAGGGGCAATCTTGTGATCATCATGTCAGTACGTGTAAATTCACACTCTCGGGCACGAGACCCTGTGTATTTTCCGATATCGTGGCACTTGGTGTCGCTGAAGAAGGGTCTCTGTTTCCGCGGGTTAGGGCTGCAATGTGGGGAAAATGGCGACGCAAAGTGCACAGGAATTCCTTCCTTCCTTTCATTGATTCATCCATTCCTTCATTGATTCATCCATTCCTTCATTCCTTCATTCCTTCTTTCATTCTTTCCTTCTTTCATTCGTTCATTCTTCCATCCTTTCAATTTGTCTTTCCTGCTTGCACTCACTCAACTCACTCACTCACTCACTCACTCACGCACGCACGCACGCCACTCACTCACTCACTCACTCACTCACTCACTCACTCACTCACTCACTCACTCACTCACTCACTCACTCACTCACTCACTCACTCACTCACTCACTCACTCACTCACTCACTCACTCACTCACTCACTCACTCACTCACTCACTGCCTCATGCATTCATTCATTTCATTTCAGCTCGTCTCATCTCATTTCATTTCATTTTCCTTTTTACTTCATTTCATTTCATTTCGTTTCATTTTCTTTTTTCATTCTTTCATTCTTTCATTCTTTCATTCATTCATTCATTCATTCATCCATTCAGTCATTCATTCATGCATGCATGCATGCATTCGTTCATTCATTCGTTCGTTCATTCATTCATTCATTCAGTCATTCAGTCATTCAGTCATTCAGTCATTCAGTCATTCAGTCATTCATTCAGTCATTCAGTCATTCAGTCATGTGGTCATTAAGTCATTCAGTCATTCAGTCATTCAGTCATGCATTCATTCATTCGTTCGTTCATTCATTCATTCATTCATTCATTCATTCATTCATTGACTCATTGATTCATTGACTCATTGATTCATTGATTCATTGACTCATTGGTTCATTGATTCATTGATTCATTGATTCATTGAATCATTGCTTCATTGACTCATTGATTCATTGATTCATTGATTCATTGATTCATTGATTCATTGATTCATTGATTCATTGGTTCATTGATTCATTGATTCATTGATTCATTGATTCATTGATTCATTGATTCATTGATTCATTGATTCATTGGTTCATTGATTCATTGATTCATTGATTCATTGATTCATTGGTTCATTGGTTCATTGGTTCATTGGTTCATTGATTCATTGATTCATTCATTCATTGACTCATTCATTCATTCATTCATTCATTCACTCACTCACTCACTCATTCATTCATTCATTCATTCATTCAATTCATTCATTCATTCATTCATTCAATTCATTCATTCATTCATTCAATCAATTCATTCATCCATTCATTCATTCATTCTTTCATTCATTCATTCATTCATTCATTGGTTAATGCACTCGTTCATTCATGCACCCATTGATTCATGCACTCTTTCATGCATTCATGCATTCATGCATTCATGCATTCATCATGCATTAATGCATGCATTCATTCATTCATTCCTTCCATTCATTCCATTCCTTCCATTCATTCCACTCATTCCATTCATCCCATTCATTCCATTCATTCCATTCATTCGATTCATTCCATTCATTCCATTCATCCAGTCATCCATTCATCCATTCATCCATTTATCCACTCATCCATTCATTCATTCATGCATGCATGCATGCATGCATGCGTGCATTCATTCATTCATTCATTCATTCATTCATTCATTCATTCATTCATTCATTCATTCATTCATTCATTCATTCATGCACTCATGCACTCTTGCATTCATGCATTCATGCATTCATGCATTCATGCATTCATGCATTCATGCATTCATGCATTCATTCATTCATTCATCCATTCCCTTCCATTCCCTTCCATTCCATTCCATTCCACTCCACTCCACTCCATTCCATTCCATTCCACTCCATTCATTCATTTCATTCATTCATTCATTCATTCATTCATTCATTCATGCATTCATTCATTCATTCATGAAAGAAAAAAATCATTCATTCATTCATTCATTCATTCATTCACTCATTCATTCATTCATCCATTCATTCATTCATTCATTCATTCCATTCATTCATTCATTCATTCCATTCCATTCCATTCCATTCCATTCCATTCCATTCCATTCCATTCATTCCATTCATTCATTCCATTCATTCATTCCATTCATTCATTCCATTCATTCATTCCATTCATTCATTCCATTCATTCATTCCATTCATTCCATTCATTCATTCCATTCATTCATTCCATTCGTTCATTCGTTCATTCGTTCGTTCATTCATTCATTCATTCAATCATTCATTCATTCATTCAATCAATTCATTCATTCATTCAATTCATTCAATTCAATTCAATTCAATTCAATTCAATTCAATTCAATTCAATTCAATCATTCATTCATTCATTCATCCATCCATTCATTCATTCATTCAATTCAATTCAATTCAATTCAATTCAATTCAATTCAATTCAATTCAATTCAATTCAATTCAATTCAATTCATTCATTCATTCATTCAGTCATTCATTTCATTCATTCAGTCATTCATTCCATTCCATTCCATTCCCTTCCCTTCCATTCCATTCCATTCCATTCCATTCATTCATCCACCCATCCATCCATTCCATTCATCCATTCCATTCATTCTTTCCACTCATTCATTCCATTCATTCATTCCATTCATTCATTCATTCCATTCATTCATTCATTCCATTCATTCATTTCATTCATTCATTCCATTCATTCATTCCATTCATTCATTCCATTCATTCATTCCATTCATTCATTCCATTCATTCATTCCATTCATTCATTCCATTCATTCATTCCATTCATTCATTCCATTCATTCATTCCATTCGTTCATTCCATTCGTTCATTCCATTCGTTCATTCCATTCGTTCATGCCATTCGTTCATGCCATTCGTTCATGCCATTCGTTCATTCCATTCGTTCATTCCATTCGTTCATTCCATTCGTTCATTCCATTCGTTCATTCCATTCATTCCATTCATTCCATTCATTCCATTCATTCATTCATTCATTCCTTCATTCATTCCATTCATTCATTCCATTCATTCATTCCATTCATTCATTCCATTCATTCATTCCATTCATTCATTCCATTCATTCATTCCATTCATTCATTCCATTCGTTCATTCCATTCGTTCATTCCATTCGTTCATTCCATTCGTTCATTCCATTCGTTCATTCCATTCGTTCATTCCATTCGTTCATTCCATTCGTTCATTCCGTTCATTCATTCCGTTCATTCATTCCGTTCATTCATTCCATTCATTCATTCCATTCATTCATTCCATTCGTTCATTCGTTCATTCATTCATTCCATTCGTTCATTCGTTCATTCGTTCGTTCATTCATTCATTCATTCGTTCGTTCATTCATTCGTTCATTCGTTCGTTCATTCATTCGTTCATTCATTCGTTCATTCATTCATTCATTCATTCATTCGTTCATTCATTCATTCATTCATTCATTCATTGATTCATTCATTGATTCATTCATTGATTCATTCATTCATTCCTTCCATTCATTCATGCACTCATGCATTTATGCATTCATGCATTCATGCATTCATGCATTCATTCATTCATTCATTCTTCATTCGTGCACTCATGCATTCATTAATTCATGCATTCATGCATTCATTCATGCATTCATTTATTCGTTCATTCAGTCAGTTCATTCCTTCATTCATTCATTCGTTCATTCATTCAGTTCATTCCTTCATTCATTCAGTTCATTCCTTCATTCATTCATTCATTCATTCATTCCATTTCACTCCATTCCAGTCCATTCCATTCCATTCCATTTCCTTTCATGTCATTTACATTTTCATTTTCATTTTCTTTCATGCCATTTCATTTCATGCCATTTCATTTCATTTCATTCCATTCATTCATTCATTCATTCAATCAATCAATCAATCAATCATTCATTCATTCATCCATTCATTCATTCATTCCATTTCATTCCATTTCATTTCATTTTCATTTTCATTTTCATTATCATTTTAATTTAATTTCATTTCATTTCATTTCATGCCATTTCATTTCATTTCATTTATTCATTCATCCATTCAATCAATCAATCATTCAATCAATCAATCAATCATTCAATTATTCATTCATTCATTTATTCATTCATTCATTCATTCATTCATTCATGTGTTCATTCATTCATTCCTTCCTTCCTTCCTTTCCTTCCTTTCCTTCCATTCCTTCCATTCCTTCCATTCCTTGCATTCCTTCCAGTCCTTCCATTCATTCCATTCCTGCCATTCCTTCCGTTCATTCCTTCCATTCATTCCTTCCATTCATTCCTTCCATTCATTCCTTCCATTCATTCCTTCCATTCATTCCTTCCATTCATTCCTTCCATTCATTCCTTCCATTCATTCCTTCCATTCATTCATGCACTCATGCATTTATGCATTCATGCATTCATGCATTCATGCATTCATGCATTCATGCATTCATGCATTCATGCGTTCATGCGTTCATGCATTCATGCATTCATGCATGCATGCATTCATTCATTCATTCCTTCATTCCTTCATTCCTTCATTCCTTCCTTCCTTCATTCATTCATTCATTCATTCATTCTTTCATTCATTCATTCATTCATCCATTCATCCATTTAGTCATTCATTCGTTCAATCATTCATTCGTTCATTCGTTGGTTTGCATTCAATTTTCCATTCATTCATTCATTCATTCATTCATTCTTTCATTCATTCTTTCATTCATTCATTCATTCATTCATCCATTCATCCATTTAGTCATTCATTCGTTCAATCATTCATTCGTTCATTCGTTGGTTTGCATTCAATTTTTCCAGTCATTCATTCATTCATTCCATTCCATTCCATGCCATGCCATGCCATGCCATTCCATTCCATTCCATGTCATTCATTCATTCATTGATTCATTCATTCATTCATTCATCCATTCATTCATTCATTCATTCATTGATTCATTCATTCATTCATTCATTCCATACATTCATTCATTCATTCATTCATTCCTTCCATTCTTCCATTCATTCATTCATTTATTTATTTTTTTTTTCATCTTTTTATTATTATTTATTGATTTATTTATTTGTGTATTTATTTATTTATTCATTCGTCGTCCTTGGAAGTTCCATCACTCATTTTCAAGCTCACAAGCAATTCCTATAGGCTTGCTGCTTCTTATAGTCACTTCCTTTTTTCGAACTTCCGCCCCGGTGCGCGCCGGGCACTATCCGTATAATCTGTTATGTAGCTACATAATGATTCAAAAAACATGTCTCCGGTCAGCACCTTTCCTTGGTCCAGGACTTTGGCTTTAAGTCTATCGCGGCCCGTAGCGATTCCGTCCAGTCGGTGGAAGAGAAGGAGGTTACGGTGATGGTCGGTACTTGGTGCTTGGGTCAATGCCCCAAAATTGCGGGGAAACCGGTATTCAACCACTAAATTTTGGAGGTTACCCGAGAACGGTCTTAAATTGGGTATGTTTGACCAACCGAATAAAGTTTTCAGCCCGATAAATACATGAACCATTGATCGTGGTAATTGGTGATGGTATTTTTCATGGTACTTGGTGCAAATCCACTAGCGCGTAAAACCGTAAATCTAGAGTCCCATATCCCAACTTATAGAGGTTAGAATCCCGCGGTCTACCCAACCATCGTTGGCCAGGAGATCATCGCGTCCCCGGCGATTGATCCCAGCATTGCCGGCAGAATCAAGGCCACGGTGCCATATGCCATTGGGTTTACCACCTTACTGCCTTACTGATTTCCAACATTTCCATGGGATTATCAAGAACACCCAACTTATATATATATAAATATATTATATAATGTAATGATCTCATTGATTAAACCATTCAAACCCACACATCCATTATATTACCATTATCGCCCACAAAAAAGAACCCGCAAATTTCTCCCGTGGGGTTTTCGCCAGCCGTGACCCGCACTGCTTCGCTGCGCTCGCCAGGTGGGCAAGTGGAACTTCGACGCGATCAGCGCCGTGCAGGAGTATCCCTACATCCTCAGGACGTGATGATTCGGGCGAAAAGGTGAGTCATCAACAAGAAGTGGTTGGTTTCTGGTTGGTCGGTTGGTTGCCTCTTTGTAGGTTTCAAATCTGTGCCATTTTTGGGGATGATTTCTTTTTCGTGGCCAATCCTCTGCAGGGGTTTCCCGCCAGGATAGTGGGCACGGAATTGCTGCAGAATTTCTCCTTTGTTCCTGGACAAGTTGCGTCTTCACTTGGTGACGGCCGAATACTATTGCCAATGGTAATACATACATACCTACATACATACATACATACATACATACATCAATACATCAATACATCAATACATCAGTACATCAATAAATCACTACATCAGTACATCAGTACATCAATGCATCATTATATCATTACATCATTACATCGATACATCAATACATCAGTACATCAGTACATCAATACATCAATGCATCAATACATCAATACAAAAGTACATCAATAAATCAATACATCAATACATCATTACATCAATACATCAATACATCAATACATCACCAATACCAATACCGATTCCCATACCGATACCGATACTGATGCCGATACCAATACCAATACATAGGTACACAGGATACCCCTAAATCCAATGGGTGAACAATTCCTCCCATTCATATGGCCATTTGGGGGTCCCGATTTTCAAACATAGCTGTGGTTGCTAGTTGCCAAACCCATTCGGGGATCACTGGAAACTGGTTTCCACAACGGTTTTTCCAGTGAACGTTGCCATTTTCAACGGTTCTAGCAAAACATATGTCAAGATTTTCAAGACTGAATTGATCATTTTTGAATAATCATCATTTTTTTCAGTTACCAACCATCAGCAGTGACCAAAAAGTTGTTACCCAACCATCAACTGGCAGAATTGGTGACATCGGCACCCGGAGATTTCAGGTCTCCAGACGCTCATTGGCCTCGTTCCTCTGCAGGTTGGAGGTGCGGCCATGAAACAAAATCGTGTTGATAAGCCAAAATCCATCGAAAACCACACAAAAACCCACGGAAATCAATTAACATGAACCAAAATCAACCGCCAACCATGATCCAACATCAACCAGAATCATGTGTTTTACAAACCTATGATTTGTATAGTTCATTAACCAACGCTCCAACGCTTGTTGGGTCCAAAAAACGGTTTCAAATAAACGGACCAGATATTTTTTCCATCCAAAGCCATTGGTTGATCTGGGTTGATGTTGGCTGCTATGGAACTTCAATACTTATGATATGTTGTTATTGTTTCATATTATTCCGATAATCCCAATTTATGTACTTCAAACTACAATAGTTATACATTGCACATCATTGTATTATAGATTTTTTATAGAGTTTCTAAACGTTTCCTCCTTTTCCATGAGCCGCGCCTACCGCGGAGGCCAAATATAACTCAGACGTTCCGTACCATTCCAACGCCCACGCCGCTGACTGCGCCAACTCACTTGAGGCCGGTGAAAATCAGGGCATGGTCATGTCTTGTTTTTTGGAATATACTAGTTGAATATCGTTGAATATTGTCAATATATAGTCGATATAGTTGAATATTAATGAATATACATGAATATACTTGGATATAATTGAATATCATTGATAATGGATCATCAGCTGGCACTTGGCGCATTTGGCAGGTGATGTTAAGCAACAGCGGGCAAGACGTTCATCCCTTGAGGCGGGGTTGGGGACACCATGGGACACCAAAAATGCGACCCTCCCGGCTCCAAGTCCATTTCTCAAAGCAATGGGAAATGCCGGACAAACGATTTTTGGTGTAATCACCAGCCATTCTGCCAGATTGTGCCAGATTCCAGATTCTGCCAGATTCTGCCAGATTCTGCCAGATTCTGCCAGGACAGCCTCCTGTTACCTAGCTGCCCTGGGGCATGACGTGGGTCATCCAGGGGTCAACAACGCCTTCATGATCAATTCACGTCATGAACTCGTCACTTGGATCCGCAGGAAAGTTGATGGGAATGTTTGAATGGTGAACGCTTGGCACGAGAGTTGCATGTGAAAGGACCACATCGTTTTGTTTCCAAAGCCGTCCCTGTATTAGCAGAAGGAGCAGTAGCTATGTTCGTCTTGTTTGAAAGAAACATGTGCCATCCATTGTGTGAAGAACGTGTTTTTTTCTCTTTGTTTAATATTGGCAACACCAAAATAACAGCAAAATACCCTCTGGTAAACTAACATAGCGATGGAAAATCACTATTTTTAATGGGTAAATCCACTATTTCTATGGCTATTTTCAATAGCTTTTTTTTACAAATTACCAGAGGGTAATCCCTCCATGGCTAAATCACCGCCATCTGAGGCGATCACGTACAACGATCGCAGTGTCTTGGAAAGTTTTCACGCAGCAGACCCTCGGCGCAGCCGATTTCGTTTCCGGCAAGCTCGAAAGAAAGATCAAATCCATCATCCCATGATTATGTGTATATATATATTTACATGATAATATCATATGTATGATGCACTATCTAAAGCTCTCAATGTTTTTTTCCTCGCACGAAGTATTTTACTGCGGCACACCAAGTCAAAGTGTACATTCAGCCCGCAAATCCTGGCCAAGATGGTCGGAAAAACCCTGCACAAACCGTTCACATTGAGCCAGGAAGTCATCAGAGCAAGCACAGTGATCCACAGCGGAGCTCTGCGGAGCTGAAAGGAAATGGTAAGCCCCGGCGGCGGGAGGGTAGTCTTTGGCGCTGCCCAAGATCCATCAGAGGCTTTATCAATGGCTCTTCTCGGCAACTCCGAAGTCAGCAAGAGGCGGATCCAAAACCGCGACTCCGCCATGGCCAGCCGTATGCCAAAGAAAAGGAGGTCATTGCTGCCAACTAGCTGTAGTTCAGTGGCGCTCCAGGTTTCACAGGGTGGAACCAGCCAAGAAACCCACAAGCCATTGCTGGGTGCCATGAAACCAGAAGTTCTATCTCTGGCAGTGGCATCCCCAAGACGTCATGGATGTCCATGGAAGCTGCAAAATCACGGCCTCAGGGAACCGCTCGCCAATCTTGCCCACTGGAAGTTTCCTTGGCGCCTTCCAGCAAAATCGTCAAGGATGACTCTCAATATCCGTACGTGTTTATATCAATATATCTGAAGTAAACATATATAACACATAACATATATTATCATATACTATATTAACATACTTCAGATCTAAACATATATAACACACAATACAAATTATATATATATAATATCTAACATATAAAAAGTAACATAATATATAACATATAACTCATATAACTCATATAACATATAATATACGCTATATATAACTAATATTCGATATATGCGCTGGGTGTTCCACTTGGCTCTGAGGAGTTGGAACGTCTCCTTGGCACGGCGTGTGTCTTGAAGTTGCCCAAGGCCTTGGAGCACAAGGAGCGCCAGGCGCAACGCATGGCTCGTGTCACGTGTCGTTGTTTGTCCGGTGATTGGCTGATGAATATGGTGAATATACGGGGAAAAAATTGGCACTAAATATTTTATTATATTTTATTAAATTATATTGTATTACATTATATTATATTATATTGTATTATATGTTTTTATATTTTTTAAATTATATTGTATTACATTATATTATGTTTTATTATATTGTATTATATGTTTTTATATTTTATTACATTATACTGTATTACATGTTATTATATTATATTATATTGTATTATGTTGAATTATATTATATTATATATATTTTTTTTATATTTTTATTAAATTATATTATATTATTTTATTTTATTTTATATTGAATTATATTATGTTGAATTATATTATATTGTATTATCTCATTTTATATTGTATTATGTTGTATTATATTATATTCTTTTTTAAATTTTCTTGAATTATATTGTATTACATGATATTATATTACATTATATTAGATTTTATTATTCCATGTTATATTATATTGTATTATGTTGTATTATATTAAATTATTTTTTATATTTTACGAAATTATATTTTATTACATTAAATTATATTATGTTATATTGTATTATGTTGTGTTATATTCTATTATGTTGTATTATATTGTATTATATAATATTGTATTATATTTTATTGTGTTAATTTTTTATGTTTAATTTTATTTTGTTGTATTATGTTGTATTTCATTGTATTATATGTGTGTTTTATTATATTCTTTTATATTGTATTATATTATGTTGTATTTTGTTGTATTATATTGTGTTATATTGTGTTATATTATGTTATATGTTAATTATTTTATATTCTATTATATGAGTTCTATTATTGTATTATGTTGTATTATATTGTATTATGTTGTATTATCTTTTTTATTTTATATTTTATTATGTCATATTACATTATATTTTATTATTTTGTATTATGTTGTATTATATTGTATGATATTGTATTTTATTGTATTGTATTTTATCATATTATATTTTTATTATTAATTTTATTATGTTGTATTTTATTGTGTTATATTTTTATTTTATTATATTGTATTATATTGTGTTATATTATATTTTACTATATATTGTATTATATTATTTTGTATTACATTATTATTATGTTATATCGTCTTATTTTATTGTGTTATATTTTATTTCTTTAGATTTTAAATTATACTATATTTTATTAAATGATATTGTATTGTATTATATGATACTATATTTTTCTTTAAATTATATTATATTATTTTTATATTATATTATATTATATTATAAAATACTATATATGTGCATAGTATGACTGTATGATGATATATCCACAAAATTATCTAGGTTGATTTGATGTTATGTGTATGGATGCAAGTTACGAATCACTGACTTCGACCATGCCAGTGCCAGGTGAGAATTGCCTACATTCTGAGCACCGACATGTCCAAACACATGCAGGCGCGACGCAGCCTTCTGTTTGGAGGTCATGATAAGGTGGAAAAAGTCTGGGACGATGCGCGAACGCACCGGAACTGGCATGCTTCATTCTAAACCATGATCATTTAAACCAGTGTGCAGTAACATATCGTCACCATTTGTCACCTGAGCCCCAAAAATCACATGGTAACATATTGTCACATATTGTCACATGGTGACTCACTCTGGATCTTTTTCCATAAAATCACCATGGTCATGCCATGGTGCCATGGTGCCATGGTGCCATGGTGCCATGGTGCCATGGTGCCATGGTGCCATGGTGCCATGGTGCCATGGTGCCATGGTGCCATGGTGCCATGAGCGCGGCAAGGACTTGGCGGACTTCCGCCTGAAGTTGGGTTGCAAAGACTTCGTCCCTGGCCGAGAAAAATTGATTATTTTTAGCCGAATTCACCATTTTTTCCATATGACAATGTATCACGTACATTCCATATATCACATATATCGCACATATCACATGTAGCACATGTACCACATGTATCACATGTATCACATGTATAGTTGTATAATAAATATATATATATATATTTAAAATGTCACAAATGTGTCAGAAAAATGGGTGGCTAGAGCCCAGGATCCAGTGGACAATGTGGCAGATCACCAGCTGGCGACGATGTGGCTCTTCCGAGCCTCGGATATCGCGCACAGCGCCAAGCCCTGGAACATCCACCGCAAGTGGTCCATGCGAGTCGTGCAGGTGGGGATGGTGAGATAGTCAAGTTTAAGTGGTGCCATGGAGAGCCAAAGATCACTTAACTTATGTGTTGTATACATATAAAATCATATAAATGTAAAGAAGCCTGAAATGGATGAAAATCCCAAAAGTGCCGCCAGGAGTTTCACGCACAGGGCGACCGCGAGCGTGCCACGGACCTTCCCATCTCTCCCTTGTGTGACCGCGAACATTTCGAGTTGGCCAAGTCGCAGACAGGTCTCTCGACGGGAGATGGACGGAGCCGGGGATCCCATGGGATCCAGTGACACGGCCACGCCACGCCGCCACGGCTGAGGCTTCTTGCAGTTCGTGTGTATTCCCATGTGGCAGGACGGGTGGAATGTTATGATGTGCAAATGCAAACAAACGCATATATATACATATATATATATATACATATATATACATATATATATATATCATTCTATCTTGTGGAGAGCGTGCAGAAAAATATGGTGCTTCCTTGATGCTAATTTGGTCAACACCAGAAACCCTGGGACACGGTTTGGTTGTGTTTGGTTCGTCAGTTCGTCTTTTAGCAGATGTTCGGCATCGGAATCCGCTCTTTTCGACCCGACCAGGAGTTGGTTCGATTGGAAAACATGGTTCAAGCTGGTGGCAGCTCGGAAGAAATGTCATCGCACAATGACGATTACATGTGTATACATATGCTCACACACACACGATATCATGTGACAAAACCGGGGTCGGGAATGACCCTTATTCGATATCTGAGGTGTCCAAGTGATGCCACGCAAGTCCATGTCGTTGAATCCCACAGCGGGAGACCGTCGCTCGCGAATGGCTGGGCCCGCAGAGCCTTTGAATCTCATGCCAGAACTCAGGCGCAAATGGGCGGCTGTTGGGTGGGTTTGAATGTTGGTGGTTGGGTGGTTGGGTGGTTGGGTGGGTTTGAATGTTGGTGGTTGGGTGGTTGGGTGGTTGGGTGGTTGGGTGGGTTTGAATGTTGGTGGTTGGGTGGTTGGGTGGTTGGGTGGGTTTGAATGTTGGTGGTTGGGTGGTTGGGTGGTTGGGTGGGTTTGAATGTTGGTGGTTGGGTGGTTGGGTGGTTGGGTGGGTTTGAATGTTGGTGGTTGGGTGGTTGGGTGGTTGGGTGGGTTTGAATGTTGGTGGTTGGGTGGTTGGGTGGTTGGGTGGGTTTGAATGTTGGTGGTTGGGTGGTTGGGTGGCTGGGTGGTTGGGTGGTTGTTGACATTGTTGACATTGCTGACATTGTTGACATTGTTGACATGTTCTCCGAAAAAAAAAACACAAACGGGGTGCTACCAAGCTGTCCAGCTGCCCAGGGAGTCGCAGACCATGAGCCTGGGAGAATCGCCAGATCCCAGTTGTCGCGTTCTCAATCACTCCGCCAGTCCCTTGGCGAAAACCGCTTCACCGGCAGAATCTGGTGAAGTTAGTGCAGGGAAGTCTCAAGAGGTCTGTGAATCAAAATAAATCAAATCTATTAAGATGTCTTGGAATCTGTGAAATTGGATGAAATTGGATGGCCCCTGAGGCTTCAGTGTGGGTGTTGCCCTTCGCCTACTGGTCCAATGCCAGGTGGGACACGGGAGACTCAGATCTTGTCATGTGGTGTCGATGTGTTTTTCTTCTTGTTGTCTGGCTAACATACTTAGATACATTGTCACGAATGCATGCGTCCATCCATCCATACATACATAGACATACATAGACATACATAGACATACATAGACATACATAGACATACATAGACATACATAGGCATACATAGACATACATAGACATACATAGACATACATAGACATACATCCATGCATGCATGCTATACATACATTGCATTACATTGCATTGCATTGCATTGCTTTGCATTGCATTGCACTGCATTGTATTGCATTGTATTGCATTGCATATTATTACATTCCAGACATGACATTACTGTTCGTATACACGGGGTTTTCTCGCAGGAAAACCTGGCAGCATGGCAGAACCTGCCGGGCCCAGATTTGCCCAACGCCGTGCGCGAAGCCGATGGGAACGACGAGGACCTCTGACCGATGGCAACGCCGTGAGCAATGGAAATTCAGATAACAGATATGTAGAAAAATATACATATATATATATATACATGTATATGTATATATGAATATGTATAATGTATATGTGCGTTTTTTGCCTTGTAGAATTTCCAGCCGAAGTTGCAACATCCCACGGAGTCGAGAGTCGATTTCCACTGCGTCATCGAGCTGCCGGTCGTTCGCAGTCGCCATAGGCCGCCATAGGTCGGTTGCCCACAAAAAATGGGACTGCAACCGCCCGAAGGACAGATTATGACAGATTGGTGTCAATTTCCCCCACAGTTTTCCATTGATGTTTTACGTCGGATTGATCGATCAATTTGTCCTTTCAAAATTGCGACTCCACTCCCAAGCTGGGGGGGGATGTTGGTCGTGACACGACAAGACTTACAAAAGCATACTGTTTCTGATCTGCTTCTGAAGTGTTGAATCGCTTTGAATGTTGGATAAAAGATAACAGTATACTTAAGTGCGAAAGTGAAGTTGTTTGCCCGGGCCCAAAGCGACATCAAAGCCCTTTAAGTCTGTGTAAGTTATAATGGACCATTTTCACCTGCGCTGTGACAGCTCTGTCGGCGCGATTGAGTAAGCAAGTTGTTACATGGATCCTGAGTCACAGCTGAGGTTGAATCATTTTGATTGGGATGTGGATATCATACAGGTAAGACAACCATAGACTCTGCAGAAAATCCATAATTGTCAATTCATAGAATTCAATCCATTGAGCATGTTTCTCCGGGACTCTGGTTCACCGGCTGCCTTGGGATCCGTTACGTGCTAAGAAGCCGTTCCACGAGCTTAGCACCGGTACTTGACCGGTGGGGAATACCCTTGGGTCCTACGTGCTGCGACATCCGGTGACTCATGGTAATCCTCAGTGTTTTGTGGGGATGTGTTGGTTTCCGGTATTGTTCAACCAGTTTGGATAGTGGCTTTCCAGAATCTGTATTCATTGTTCTTGACACCCAAAGGGTGACGTTTTGAACTTCTCGCAGACTGAGCGTGGACCTTGGTATTTCCCTCCTGCTCTTGGAGAACAACCTCAAGGCTGCAGAAACTAAGACTGGGTTGAGAATGTTTTGAGGGCAATTTCCCAAAATTAGATCAATCAGGTAGCCACTGTAGCCGTTGGTGACGCATTTCCTCAACCCATGTGATCCATTTTGCTTGGCAAACCCTCGCTTTATGACCTCGAAAAGATGGACCCCAGGCTCTTCAGTCTCAAGTCATGAATTCGATGTCGCTGGTATGAATCTAATTTTTAACCACTATATTCAGTAGTTAAACCATACTAAACCAGATGGAGTAAGATTCTATAGTTTTCTATAATTTTTGAAGACGTGTCAGACATGACAGTTTTTGGATGGGCCAATGGGTCAAAACTATTGGCCACGTTTCTTCATTTTTCCGATGGATAGTTCATCACCAATCAGCAATCTATATAAATTCCATGCACATCCTTGGCCCATTTCCAATGCCCATAGCCCTAATAGTCACCCTTTATGTCCCTCAATATCTGCCATGGAATCCATGAAATATACCCCTGTGAATGGGTTACCCATGGCGGGGTTTATTCACCTAGCTGGTTAGTAAATTCCAGAAATATAAACAGGTACAATCCCCACAGATCCCAGAAACCCCCATAATCATTGTAGTCCCAATAATCCCGATATAAGAATCCCTAATACACATGTTATATGTATGTATATATGTATATGTATATATATATACATGTATGTATGGGGATTCTTGTGAGAAGTGTGTCATATATCTCATATTCTGGCATGTTTGGGATGCTATGTGTATCTCAAAAACTATCGTTGATGGCATATATCATATATCATCAACGCACTGATGTGATAACATCTACATATGTATGTAGATAATAGGGATTACTATATGCATATGATGTATATTAATATGTATATCTATTATATATATACATGTGGTATATGTGTAGAATAAGCGGGGATAAATGGTGATCCTGTGTGACTGCCGGGAGAAGAATTATCTATAACACCCATGATATATCATGCAGATATAACATGCATACATACATATATACATATTTATATATATATTATAACACAGGCTGGGGTTTCTGATAGATGGCATATGGTGATAGACTATAATGATTATTTATCATAGCATGATATAACATCATTTGCATTTTACCATATATATATACATAACACATATTAATCTACATATGTCATATCCCATATACTATCTCATATATAACACAGCCGAAAAAAAAAAAACAATCCCATACACCGGATATACACATACATACTATCCCATATATCTATAATATCTATCCCATATGCAACACAGAATATTATGTAATTATGAATATCAATATATGTGTATTAGATGTACGTGCTAGTGTTTTATGGGATAGTGCTATATTAATATCATACCCTAGCCTGTGTTATAATATATATATCCCCATATTTGTTACATGGGGTAGTGTTATAATATAATTAATAATACGTACTATCCCATACTGTCCCAATTTATTATATACTATTCATACATACTATTTATAATACATACTATTTATAATATACCCATATGTGTTATAATATATTCCATACTATCCCATTGAATATCCCATTTATAATACATTTATAATACATTAATAATACATGAATAGTATGATAATAATCCTATTATAATTCATTAATAGTACAGACATTATTATATGATATTTTCCCATTAACTATCCCATATAAACATATATAAACCACATTTGTCACAGGTCAAGCGGCCCATTTGGGCGACTCCGTTGCCATGATGCGACGTCTGGGCACCGCGGGCTATGTGGCGCCGGAGGTCCTGGACACACGACGCTTGGGAGCGCAAGCAACGCAACGTGAAGGAACTGTGGGATAGTTATGGGAAATGGATGTTATAGTTATGGGATAGTTATACATGATAGATATATGGGATATGACATATGTAGATTTGTATGTGTTATATATATATATATGGAAAAAACACAAATGATGTTACATCATGCTATGATATGGTAAAATATGCTATATACATGGTATAATCATTATAGTCTATAACCATATACCATCTATCAGAAACCCTAGCCTGTGGTATACAGTTTCATAGATGTTATATGAAGTTCATAGATTTGATACGTTTTTTTTCATGAGATTTTATTCGGATTTCATATGGGATTCCGGTGGTTTTTAAATAGATGGAGGCAGTGGGCGTGTCAGGTTCAACAGGGTTCCGGAGAAGGTTCCAGAGAAGGCCTGGGAGGCTTTGGTGCAGCCAGGTCAGGTTCAACAGGGTTCTGGAGAAGGTTCCGGAGAAGGTTCCGGAGAAGGTTCCGGAGAAGGTTCCGGAGAAGGTTCCGGAGAAGGTTCCGGAGAAGGTTCCGGGAGGCTTTGGTGCAGACTTGTAAAAATAAAACGTTTCGGCTTGTGGGGATACCACCAAAGCTTATTCCAAGGGAACGCTGTTTCTTTTTGGAAGGAAGATTGCCTAACACCATTGTTCAAGTTAATATGTCATGAAGTCATCAAGTACTTTGTTAAAGGAATGCCGCACTCTTGAGAAAGTAATGTGTATATTCAAATGTTATCTTAGAGAAGCGCTACCCTTCTCGGAAATAGTACTACCTCGATGGAAAACATGCCATATTTGTTCCAAAATATATGGGAGACATGGTGCACTCTTTCTAATGGAATGCTGTGCACATCTCAGGGCCCTGCTTCACAATAATGATACACTTTATCAGAGGAACGTTGCCCTCTCTGTAGACGAATCTTGCATGGAGGTATGCCACAACTTCCTTAAGGAATGCCATATTCTTTGACATGATGACTGATAAGAAGCATACTGTTGCCCTTAAAATCTGAGTTGATAATACTGTGTTTTAAAACTGTGTCAGGAAGATGCAGTACTGCTTGTCAACCAAAAGTGTTGTTTCCTCTTGTTCATGCTTTGCTATAAAGACATGCAGCATAGAAGCAAACACCACCCTTGAGCGTGGCGCAACCGGCCAAAATTGAATTCCATTCCTCTTTGATATTTATTGATTCAATACAATATGTCATACCAAAAATTGCCGCATTACAGCATATTTCTACCAAACTGAATTTTCCTAGCTGATTGACGGGTTTGCTTTCAGGTCCTTGTAGTTTATTTTTTGCCCGATGTACAAACTTGGATATGTACAGTATACACGCAAGACTTGAAGCCAAAAGTTTTTACACAATACATACCTATATACATTTTGCCTTACAGCTCAACTGCTGCGCCGGGCTACGCCTCAAAACTAAGACAGACATAAACAGATGCTTGAACGTGATTCAATACATAAAACTTACCAAAAAGCGCGCTCCCACAAAAGACCCGGATTCTAAAATTCACCTTTACAGACCCGGGCTCCATATTAAATTCAGGGGGAGTATTTCGGAGCATGAAACTAAGAATACTTCATGACATTGAAATCTGTGTGTTTCAATTTTCTTCGGGTTCCATAGCAGAAAACTCTTGTGGAACGATTTAAATCCTAAATCGCTGGATTGGCGAAGTGCCGACTTGCCCAGATTTCTGGAGTGCAAATCACTAGGGTTGAAGTTCAGAATTCGCAAAAAACTGCAAATAAAGGCTTAAACATGCTTATACCGTGCTGAAGGATGGTTGATTTTTGTATCTTTCTGTTGTTTTTCTCATGGATAATGGAGGTATACGCACTCAGCTTCGAAATTGAAGACCTTGGAATTTCGAAACGAAACCATGAGCCTCTCAGGAAGTCCGGGCTACGGAAGTCTTAGCAGCTGGGATGCATCCGGTCACGTTGAAATCCATGGCACGGGAGCTGGGTGAAACTTTTGGTGCCGAAAGTTCGAGTTCAGATTTCATTAGTTTATCATGGTTGTCCATTGTTTTCCCTGTTGAAATTGCTATTGTCAGACCCAAATCCATGATTCTTTTTGAGCTGGTTTTACAATCAGCAGCGAGGTGATGTTTTCAGCGCTGGCTGCGTGCTCTTCTTTCTCTATTGCGGTGTCGAAGCCTATAGAGATGCCAACTACGGTGCGAGAAATGTGGAAGTTGGAATATGTTGGAATGAGAGGGTGGAAGACTGGAAAAGCGCTCCCAAATTCTTCATCAAATGTTCATCAAATCGCATTTCTGTTTGGTTTCTTTAATTTTGTTGGGTGATGCCGAAAGCCAGGTGCCACCTTACAACGAACCTTGGCCGGAAAGGCCAGGTTTAACCATCCCAAGGTCAAGCAGGTGCCCTGATGTGCCCTGATGTGTCGTGATGTGTCGTGATGTGTCGTGATGTGTCGTGATGACGCTGCGACTTCTGCGACTTCTGCGACCTGCCAGGTGCGGAGTGGGACGCTGCATTTGTTGAAGAAGATGTTGTCTCCCAGCCCCAAGAAACGGCCGAGGGCCCAGAAAGGCTGCAAGGCTGGGCGGGGAATATGGGAGAATATGGGATCCTTGGGGTTTACCTATACGAAAAGATGTGGAAAATGGATGAAAATGGTGATGTTCCACATCTATGTGAGTTCACAGGATGGTAATCCTGATGGCAAGAATCCATTTCTGGGCACTTGGGATGTTCCTTCACGTAGCTGCATGGAGCCCCCGCAGCACATTTGTTGCATGGAAGCAGCATGTTCTTCACAGTATTCGCACCTCGTTCATCGATGCCAAGAAATGCCAAGAAGGGGAGACCATCGAATTTCTTCAAAATGGCGCCAGGCGCTGTGGAACCTTGGTGATGAAGAGGCCTGGGAAACACCGGGAAACACCGGGACCGACCATGGAACGACCAGGGAACCGACCATGGAACTCCATGGTGGCTCCAGGTGCAGGAATCCGTGGCAGCGATGGAGGCGATTCAAAGCCTGCCGGTCTCGGAGAATGAGACTGTGAGCTACTTGACTTAACTTGACTTCAAAGTTTGGCAATGTTTGATGTGTTTGATATGTTGTTTGATTTGTTTGCTTCTTTTTTTGTGAGATGTCGCTCATTTGGTTCTTTCCGAATATCTTGATGTGGTTTATCATGCTGAAAGGCCTTGTCCGTCCATGGTAACCCCAGGTTATGCTCGGCTGCAACCGGTTCAAGCATCTCGGCTGGATGAGCTGCCCAGGTTATGCATCCATTGTTCCAATTTGTCCCATTCATTGTTGCTGTAGCGAGCGAGCTGAGCGATGATAGCGATGGTGCCCAGGAATTTCGAGACGAGTTTGAGGATGAGATTCCCCGCCCGGTTTCAGCCCGGGGACCTGGTGAAAAACCGGCCTCGTTTGCCAAACAAGCGGGACAGTGCTACTGTAACCACCTGTAACCTATAGATACCTATAGTACAAGTGGATACAAGTGGCAGATACAACCTGATACAACTTGATACAATCAAGTTCACACATGGCACATGGCAGATACGCTCATCTGGTGCCGCACAGCTGGACCACAGGAAGTCGTGGACAATTCCACTACGACGTTCAAGAGCTTGCCTCCAGGACTGGGAATTCTGGTCGAATGTTCCAGGTGAGTCCAGGTGTGTGAAAACGTGCAGGAAGTCCAAATTGTCCAAGCGACATGCAGGCGGCCGATCGTGACGCTATTGGTTGCCGCAACTGCGTTCAGTTCCAAAATGCACTTTCTTGAGACTTGACTTGTAGGATACTTGTGTGGGACACTTGTGCAGGATACATGTAGGATTGAAGCAGTAAAATTGCAGTGATTGAACCTTGGACCACCTTGGACCACCTTGGACCACCTTGGACCACCTTGGACCACCTTGGACCACCTTGGACCACCTTGGGCCACCTTGGGCCACCTTGGATACCGATCCTTCGCCATCGCCGCAGATCCACATCCCCAGACTACCTTCAGCGCATTCGAGCCGGAGTGGTTTTTTCGGTCGCTTCAAGCGACGATCACGATGAAGCGGCCGTCGATCAGAGCTTCGTTTTTGTCGTTTTTGTTTTGAGCGCCTGGGGAGTGCGGAAAATGTGTGACAGATGATTCGTGTCTACGGTTTATCAATGTTTTTAAGGTGTTCGATTTTGTCATCGAATTCCAAGCTCTAGCCATTGTTTGGTACCCCATGGAAACTTTCTAAAGGCTCAGCGCTCACAATTCAGAGCATTGTCGAAGACATGCTGAATAAATTGATTACACAAGCGCAACTGAGATCACCTGATGTCTGGTGCAAGGAGTTCATCTGACATCATTCGACATCATTCGACCATTCAAAGATTCAAAGCTGATTCCATCGTTTTGGTTGCGACATTTGCAGCATCCCTTGGATTTTTAAACTCCAATGGCTGCACGAAGTAGCCATGTAGATTACGGGCTGTAGATCGCGGTGAATCCCAAGCTTGCAAGCTTGTGTAGCAATAATTCTGGGACATTTTTATACCGTTCATATCCTAAGGAAATGTCAAAAAATGTGTCGCTTGGGACGGTCGGGCGATATGGCTCGCTGTCACGGACATGTGGCTTCCATTATGCCATTCGCAAGTGGCTGATAGGATAGCTAGTTTGACTGAGGTGAATTGTCATTGATCATTGTAGGTGTGCTGATGGTAAATGTGACATGCCATTGAATATCCATTTCACGGGGCTGAGATAATATCTATTTGAGTGTCAATGTCATTGACAAGAGTTGCTGAGAAGAGTGGCTGATAGGTGGAGGGTGGCTGATATTGTAGCCGCTTGATTTTCATTCCAAATGCCATATAAAATCCATTGCGCAGGGGCGGCATATGAAATGTCATAGAGAATCAGTTGGGTATCACACTTACTTGAGTTGGATGTGAAACGCCATCGAATGTCCATTTCGCACGGGAATAACTGAGAGGATACCTTTTTGAATGACAATGGCAGTGGAAGGTTGCTGATAGGATAGCTAATTTGACTGACAGAAGAGATATTATTGACAATCAATTATGAGGAGGGGATTGATATCATAGACATTTAAAATTAAAGGACCGGATAACCCCACATGTTACCAACTTCTCTAGATTTAGACTGGGCATAGAAAAGCAAGAAGGGAAGAGGAAGTATAAGAGTGATGGAGCGGTGATGGTGGGTGAGTTTGTGTGTGTGTGTGTATGTATGTTCAAGTACAGTGAGTGAGTGAGTGAGTGAGTGAGTGAGTGAATGAGTGAGTGAGTGAGTGAGTGAGTGAATGAGTGAGAGTGAGTGAGTGAGTGAGTGGGTGGGTGAGTGAGTGAGTGAGTCAGTGAGTGTGTGAGTGACTGCCACGCCTGCCACGCAAAAGCGGCGGAGACCCAAGGGACGCCAGGGCGTACATGCCACCCCTTGGCAGTGCACATTGTCCCACGCCTGCCACGCAAAAGAAGCGGAGACCCAAGGGACGCCAGGGCGTACATGCCACCCCTTGGCAGTGCACATTGTCCCACGCCTGCCACGCAAAAGAAGCGGAGACCCAAGGGACGCCAGGGCGTACATCCGAGCCCTTGGCAGTGCACATTGTCCCACGCCTGCCACGCAAAAGAGGCGGAGACCCAAGGGACGCCAGGCGTACATCCGACCCCTTGGCAGTGCACATTGTCCCACGCCTGCCACGCAAAAGAGGCGGAGACCCAAGGGACGCCAGGGCGTACATCCGACCCCTTGGCAGTGCACATTGCCCCACGCCTGCCACGCCAAAGAGGCGGAGACCCAAGGGACGCCAGGGCGTACATCCGACCCCTTGGCAATGCACATTGTCCCACGCCTGCCACGCAAAAGAGGCGGAGACCCAAGGGACGCCAGGGCGTACATCCGACCCCTTGGCAGTGCACATTGTCCCACGCCTGCCACGCCAAAGAGGCGGAGACCCAAGGGACGCCAGGGCGTACATCCGACCCCTTGGCAGTGCACATTGTCCCACGCCTGCCACGCAAAAGAGGCGGAGACCCAAGGGACGCCAGGCGTACATCCAACCCCTTGGCAGTGCACATTGTCCCACGCCTGCCACGCAAAATGCACATTGAGTGAGTGAGTGAGTGAGTGAGTGGGAGGGAGGGAGTGAGGGAGTGAGGGAGTGA